AAGCTCAGGGATTATTTAAAAGTTCATCATGCTTCTTAGCACTTCAGGGTTTGATTTGGAAACTAACTGGAAGTTTTAGGAAATTTGTTTCGCTTAAATGTTTAAGAAAATTAATTAAAAAGGTCATGGTTTTTCGTAAAGTTTGGAGAAGGTCCTGGGGCATGGTTGGAGATGGATGTTCTGAGATATTAGTCTAATGGAGAGAACTTAGAAAAATATTAACTTGGAAGAAGCTGAGAAAATTTTCCATACGTAAAAATAAGGGAACTTTTTAGATGTTCAATGAACATTTGAGCAATGTTTCCACCCCTCAGGAATGTGTAAATGGTAAATGCCACATTCGCCACTTGCTTGAGTACGGTGCTGGTTACGGTGTAATTTAATAATCTTGATTTGCTGTTTAAAGCAAACCCCACACGTATCAATATATTGACGCGAAGGGGAATTATTGACATTAATATTGATGATGTGAATACAGAAATATTGTCAGTACCGATGTATTGACGTCAATATTAAATGTATTGACAATACGATTATTGTCAATAAAAGCAATCGTAAAAATAAGAAATATTTTGTTGCAAGGTGATTTTTCTGAATATTTTTTGAAATTATCGGCAGTTCCCTGATGCACTTAAAATCCTTACTTTTTCCCGGTTTATCATGGCGATTCCAGTAAAGTAGTTAAATTGAAAGATTTTTCAAAATAGAGATTTAGTCTTGTAATAAAGAGCGAATCTTATTTTCCTTCACATTAACCCTTGTTCATGTTGTACCTGGCAACAGAGGAACCAATCTGTTGATCGTGACAACTTTTTAAACTTACAATGTTTACACAATTTATTAACAAATCTCTAAGCTTAGCTCTAGACGACATAGTAATATGTATGTAAACAAATTTCTGATAATGTCTGAGAACCTAAAGTTAATCACTTCATTCTATTAATCCACTAGCAGTGCGATGGGAAATATAGGTAACGATGAATACGACGAGCATGCTCAAACCAGTGTAACAGGCTGCCTGGCGCTTTTAAATCTGAATCAATAGCTTTTAATCTTCAGGTTAGCCTTCGCGTGTTAGGTAGTCAATTTTAGACAGATGATTTGTCACTATTTGCTTAGCAGATGAATTGCGTGTTATTAGCAGATAGGAGGATGGATTGTTTGTCAAATTATGTGACGACAACAAGCCGTGCTGCTTTGTAAAGCGTATTCAAAATTATAAATAAATAAATAAAATGTTCGGTGGAAGATTGATTCCCATCTACTACAAGCGAAAGTAAACTGTTCAATGCATTATGGAAACGTGTTTGTTTTAATTACTTATCTAAATAAAACTCAATAAAAATAAAAATCTCTTTAAGTATTTCATGAAAATTACTTACGAAGCGAAGCGACAAACCCATTACGGAGCATCTCATCCGTAAATAATTGGGGTGCAGGATCTCAATCTACTTTTTTCGATCCAACATAATGAAATTTTCTGATAAGCCCGAATCAGATTTGCCCACTTTCCACGTCGAACTCTGGCCGTCCAGACGTGGGAGTCTGAGGGCTTATCGCGCTCATGCCTCCGATGTCGTTTCCGTCCCACGCCTTTTGCCTCGCTCGAGAGCTGATCCTGTGTGGCTGGTTATGGTATAAGACGGTTTTCAACGCACACACCCAAACAATAGCTAGCGTCATCGTCATCTCTCTGTGTACACATTTAGGTATCCCTGGCTGGAACGGGGTGTGGAGGTCAGGGAAGGAAAACTGCACCGATCATGAGCACAAGTTCCTTTCGCGGTTTTACCATTCTGCAGCAACGCACTCGTTTAATGCATTGGCAAAATAATCATTTTCTTGTAACATGCATGAGCCTCCATCGAACATCATCAAGCGGGAAACAACGGACTCCTTTTATGCTATTAACGTTTCCATGGTACTTTTGTAATGTATGGCATGGAGCCTCAGACGGGGTACATTGGTATTGGTGCGTCTGGAAATCAGTCGAAAAACTAATGACGATGATGATGGAAGTGCGATGAGATGAGATGTGTTGGGAAAGCGGAACGTGGCGGGCTTCGTTAAAAGGATGCTTCAGTTATTTGCAGATTGCGGGAGGAGAACGAACAACACTGTGGTAGAGGACCATACAACGTTGAATTGAGCGAGTCACGAATACACTGCTGACATAACTGTAGCAGAGTACCAATACAGAGAACCCGGGTATGTTTAGAGGTAGGACATTCTTGTTGAAAATTAAGAGAGTAGATATAACTCTGCTAATATCATGGATATGACTATGGGTAGAGCATGGTCTATCATCTCTTCATCAGGATTCGGGGATCTGTGGTGGGCAGGAGAAGGTTTCTGGCAAAGACAAAGGACGAGGGTTGCCAGATTTGAGGTGAAAACTTTATTGAAAAAGCGAACTTTTTATAATGGTGTTCATGAAAATAAATCTCGCTTTCCCTTGAACTTGTGAGCAATAGTTAAATTTTTGCGATACATCGAGTTTCGATAATCGTAAGATATTTTCTAATAGGATATTATGATAATGATACCTAAATCTATACCATGATTATCTCTCCAAGGAACAGTAATTTTAAAGCGTCAAGAATTTCAACTGAATCGAATTAAACATGTGTTATATACAGATGATACGAACCTGAACAAAAATTACCTGAGAGTATTGTAACATAGCATTTGGTTAATAGCTGTGCTACATTTGGGGTTATTTATAAACTATGTAGACAGGTTTTAATTAGCTTTAGACAACTTGAGAGCTTTCGATGCCAATACCAATGCATGAATTTATATATTGTGTTGCAAGCACAATGATACGTGATGATATTCTATGCCCAGGGAAGTCGAGAAAATTTCCAACCCGAAAGATTCCATCGGCCGGACCGCGAATCGAATCCGCCGCCTCCGGTTTGGTAATACCGTGCCTTTACTGACTTGGCTGTGGGGCAAGGGTGCCATTCCATAGAGGAAATATTAACTTTTTAACATTCGCATTCCTTATGAAATTTTGACCGTAATGACTATTTTATGATTATTTTTATAGTGGGCTGTAAACGGAACCCTCGATTATTTATTTTATTCCGGAATTTTGGAAATTTTCTTGCTTGTGCGATATATCAGTGCCAACATTTCAAAGGGACGTAATTAGTGGTTTTTAGCCGTCGATTTCTCGCAAATAAAAGCTCATTCTACAATGTGCTCTAAATTGCTTTCAATTTTCTTTTCTAAAATTCTCTTGATGCCTTAGCGCGAAATATGCAATTGCTACTCCTACTCCTACTGCGCTGCAAAAAACAGCGGGGTAGTTTCAAGGGTCTAAATTAGTAATTCCACGCCAAATGACGAATCGGAAAAGCTCAACCTTCTCCATGAAACTTTGCATAATTGTTTGTTATGGGCAATGATTAACATTCGGCCATTTTAGATCTTGTAAAATTTTCAAAATAATGTATTAAAATTTTTCAAAACATTTTAGCACGGAAACGGTATTCAAAAATTAAAAAAATTAAAAAAAATGTTAAAAAACTAAATAATCTTTTTTTAATTAAGATTTTGATTTTTTTTTTTGTGAATGAAAAATGCAAACTTTTGGAATGTTTAAAACTATGGACGGTTAAAAATTGACAAAAATCGTAATTGTAATTTATTGATAGCATAACGAAAACCTATCAGTTACAGAACCATAAATCAGGTCAAGGAAGCAACCATTTTGAATCAGTTTAGTGGGGAAAAGTAGAACATAAACTTTTACTAAAATGTTTGAACTTTTTGTTAAAACGTTTTTCCAAGCTATTTGTACTCAGAAAACAATGTTTGAGATATTTAAAATATTTTTTATGTGAAAAAATATACAAAAAGCGTACTAACAGAAAGTTTAAAAATTTGACCAAAAGTTCTTGTTTTACGATTTTTGTCAGTTTTTATGTTTCCATGGTTTCCAAAACTTTTAATTTTTCATTTTTTTTTCATTTTTTTAATTTAAAAAAATTGGAAAGGATATTTTGAGATATTTAAGCTTTTTTAGCGGCACCGGTGGTGTAGTGGAAAGTATGATTACCTATCCTTCGAGCAGGCCTGGGTTCTGAGGCATAACATCTCTGATCACGCCTTCCTTCGGAAGGGAAGTAAAGCCGTTGGTCCCCGATTCATGAGTTGATGGGTCGATAGGTAAGGTACAGGTATGGGAGCTGCCTCCCTGGTGTCGGTAGCATTGATGCTCAGCAGGGGATACAAGATCGACGGAAAACAAATCAAGGAAAAAAAAAACTTTTTATAAAACATTTACTTAAAATAAATAAATAAAAAAAAAACATGTTCTGCTTTTTTTCAGCAAGACATTATTTTTCTCTAAAACATTGTCTCAGACATTATTTCGATAATTCCGAGCAGCACCTAATACTGTACTGCCCATAAAATCATAATTGTCCCATCTTTGGTTGATTTCCTATTCATATGTAGGTGTAAGCTTGCAAAAAAAAAAAACTTGAATATTTCACGATGTAATGATTCAGCTTTTTAGTTCTGTTAATCAAAATAGCGTCACAGAAATGTAGTTATAAGTTAGGTCAGAACATGTCTGTTGAAAAGAGGGCACGCCCTGACCTTTCCCAATATTTTCAATAGCACTGCTCTAAAACTAATGAGCATAGGAAAATTCAGATGATAAAAATTTAGTTATATTGAAGATAAAAATTATGTGCTGATTAAAAAAAAATCAAAACTTTAATTTAAAAAAATTTAATTCAGTTGGCAACCTTCTTTCGATAGTCATAAACATCAACTAGGGATCAAAGGCGACAATTCAGAACCAAATGCACACGCGATTGGCGGATTAAAACAAGTTCCTTTATCCCCTTACCTTATACAGAGAGAGAGATTACTTTATTAAAGAGGTTTCAACCTCGGACTGGTTCGTCTCTGATCGACCTTATACAGTCCACTTGCAGACAGTGCCCTTTACGTCCCAATCTCGCGCTTCACAACCCACTTACCTCATACTTGAGCCCAGCCAGTCTCAACCAGGTTTCCACCTTGAGACAGTACGGGGACATCGATGGCAGCAGTGGGGTCCGGGTGAACTGGTACAGATAAACCACATCCTTTTCGAAGTTGGCCTTGTGAACCAAGGGTTTCACTTCTTTCTCCTTTTTGGCCGGGGCCTGTTCGGTGGCAGCGGCCGATGTGGCCGCAGCGTCACCACCGGCTCCTGCATCGGCGGCATGATTTTCTGTGCCGGTTTTTTCACCTTCAGCGGCCTTCTTATCGCCATCGGCAGTAGCCGCTGCCGCAGCAGTGGCAGAATCATCCTTCTTCTCCACACCGGCTGCTGGGAGCTCGGTCTTCTTCTCCTCCTCGGTGGCGAGAGGCTTATTTTCAACTTCTGTGGCCATTTTTCGGGATTTTAATTTGTGGGGTTTCTGGTTGGAAACGAGTAAAAATCTGGCAGAAAATTCACGCACACAACGCTAGCCTATAACAAAATATTCGCACTTTTGGGTTCACTCTTCTCTTTATTCCTTTTCGGCCTTTCGAAAATTGCCGGAAATCACTTTGCAGGTTTCCAGGTCAGATGTTGATCGAAAACACCAAATCCTTGTCAATCACTGTATAGATTACACTGAAAAGCACTTGTTTCACTTAGCTTTATATCCAAATGCGGTAAAAATTCCGTGTTTAATCCAGGTTTTCTCAAAATCCAGGCGATCCTCTATCACTCCGTTAGGATAAAGAAAATTTAATCCGGTTCAGCGGTAGGCGTCGAACGACACAAAAAGCACTGAGATAGGACACAGATGACGAACACAACTGAACGATTAGACAGTGCTGTACCGTGTGTGGATTCGGTCGAGCGCTCGGACAATAACTTTCGAACCGTGGCTGTCGAAATAAGGAAAAGCCTTTCTATGCTTTTTGAATGATGGTTTTAACAATATAATTAAAACACCGATAGAGAAAGATCTTCGAACGGGCACTAAACTAGCTTCTCTCTGTTGGCGCTGAGACGGTTGGCTCTATACAAAACTAGGCGGCTGTGACTGGTTGTGTTGCTGCTGCTACTACGTCTGCTGCGTTGGTTACTCACAAAGAAGAGCAAGACGCGAAACGAAATACGACCAACTTCGACGGTGAAACGATACTTTGGCGTCCTTTTACCAACACTACCGCACATAGCCGTCGACTGGCTCTGAATGTGTACGTGAATCTGCAATTACTCTCATTTTCCAGTCATCAGATTCCAGTTAGGGAGTGAGCTTTCGCTATGAACATCTAGAGGAGTACAAAGGACAGCAACAAACAAACGAAAAGTGCATCGGGAAATCAACTCCACTAACACATCTTAACGAATTGATTACAGTTTGTTCCATTTTGAACTGCTAGGGTAAGGAAATCAATGCTGGATAGTTCATGAGGTTTGGTTTTTGGAAGACCGACGTGCGACGCATTAAAAATACAATCCAGCGTGGGCGTACTTTGGTTCGCGTGTAAAGGGCCTTAGAAAGTTTGTTTACAAATGCTTTTGTGCCGTTATCAAATGTTATGCCTGACTTTTTCATAGCACATTCTTAATTTTAAGCTCAAAGATTAAACCCACAGGCTGAGTGATGAAAGTTTAAAAACCAGCATAGTTTTTATGAGGCAGCTGAGTTTTCAATTTCAATAAAACATACTTTGGCGAAACATGTATGTAAACAAACTTTGATAGAGTCATGGGGGCTCGAGAACTCCTGGCTCAGAGCTTTTGGCGGGAATCAACCGAGAAAGAGCACACCAGTTTTAAACTTGAGAAAATTTTCAAACAGTTTTCCATTGGATTGCAAAATAAAATTGGTCGACTCCCCAGTACCCAGATTTGTACTCATCTTGACAGTTAAGTGCAACCACTCAAAATTGTGTTCTTTGAGAAGTATCCAATTTTGAGTTTTTGGTAAGACTTCGTTTTAAGTCAAATGTAACTGTTTCATAAAGAGTGAATGTTGGGTGAAAAGTACCTTAAACCGAATTTTTAATGTTAGTGAATATTGTCAAAAAATTATTCTTTTCTTATTTTTCTTCAGCTTGCATCAAGCAATCAATCAATAGTTTTATTTACACTTATAAAATCTGAATCTCATTCTAATAAATGTAATCTAATGTAACACAATAAACCGTCTTTCATCTATTGAATCCATACCGAGAACCGTTCCTTGCGTGCAATATGCCAGCTGATTTTGCTGCTTTCGGTTCCAGTCCTGCAGCCCGAAGGTGAATTCCCAATAGCGATGAATCGTATTCATGGTCTTTTTGATCTTTTTGAAGCTCAGGAATCTGAAAAAGTTTGCAGAAGCAAATGCATTTCGAATGTGTTTATTTTAATATTGTTTTTATACATACCGGCTGGATAACGTCATCAGATTATGAGTCGTACCCATGAATTCAGCTACCGGGATATGTCCTATGTAGGTGCAGAATTCGATTTCCGGATTGGATCCCAGATTAACACGGTGCTATCTCAGTTGACACGAGTTAGTTTTTTAAATGACACCTTGCTCCAGTCAACATTAGAACTATTTCCTTCTGGCGCTCCTAATAGGTCTATTGTTGGCACTCTGACTCGTATTCGACAGTGACAGCAGACACAGGAACCACAATTTGGACCATGCCTATAATAATTTTAAACATGGATAAATATCTTAAAATTCGCCTGGATGACGTGAACTTACCACATCGAACAATTCGGTAGCCTAGAATTGTTTAAAACTGATGACGATAACTCTTGCAAACCTTCCGTACTTATGATGCGATGAAATTTTTTCATCCAAAACGAAGTGCAATCGCAACACTTGATTAAAGATACTTTAAAAGCATGGAAAACGAAACAACTCAAAATAGAGATAGAAAGCCCTCAAAACTAAGAACCCTCGCAAGACTAATGTGTTAGTACAATTAATGTGAAATTTAGTATTTTGTTTATACTTCAAGATTAAGTTGAATTTACTCATCAATGAGAACATAATTGTATCCAAAACAGTAGTCATAGAGGAGAACTTATTTTAAAGTACTTTATATCTCGATTTTGAGTTGTTTTGTTTTCGTGTACGTTCGGTGATGGTGACCTTAAAATTGACACTAGGGGAAACAGCGCTATTGTTGCGGTAAGTTAGCAGCGTTAGAAGCCTATTGTTGTGTATAGAGACCTCCATACACAACAATAGGCTTCTAACGCTGCTAACGTACCGCAACAATAGGGCTGTTTCCCCGAACTGGTTGTCACAAATCGTTTCGTATTCCTCTGTTCCTAGGAGAGGGAAAAGGAGGAATGAAAAGTCAAAATTTTATTTATTATTATTTATTTCATAACCCGTACAAGCTAAAGTCAACCAGTTAAGGCCTGTATAGAGATCAAAGCGAAGCGAAAATCTCATACAAAATACTACATTTTTCACCTGCGTGAAAAACGCAATGTGCAAATATTTCACTTCGCTTTGAACTGTAAACAGATACGATCCAGCGAAATCTAATTTTGTGGATCGCATCTTTTTCGCTTACGTTTATTTTTTTTCGCGCATGCAGCGCTCGCGAAAAGAGCAGGAGGTAAGCGAAAAGATGACGTTTCGGGAGAGCGTATCTGTCAGATTTTCACTTCACCGGAGGTGTAAACTGATCGATTTCGTTTCACATGAACTATAAACTGCGAAAAAAGGAAACTGGAAAATGTTCCACAAACATTTTTTCACAACCTTTTTCGCTAGCGAAATTTCATGATTTTTCGCGTGTCTCAATTTTCGTTTCGCTTCGATCTGTATACTAGGCTTTAAAGCGTAAAATTAGCGACCGAATGAAACCAGAAGACTGAGAAAAGGTTTTCTTCTTAGAATTTCGACTAGAAGGAGGTATGTTAATCGATTTGCTTGTGACCAATAGGCTAGTCAAGTGGTGTGCCAATTTTAAATCGTTAGTTTAATGTAATACTAGAATTTCGACTAGAATGGGGTTCGTTAATCGATGTGCTTGGGACAATAGGCTGGTCAAGTGGTGAGCCAATTTAAAATCATTAGTTTCCAACGGTTGGTACTAGCCTATCGGTCCCAATTACATCGATGAACGTTCCCCATTCTAGTCGAAATTCCTTATCGGATTTTCGACCGGATGAATTTCGATTGAAATTCTCATTATTCCGGTGATGTGGCGTCTGAAACTGGAACTGTGGTTTCGCCAGTTGACGAGGGCCAAACCGACCACTTCCAATGATTGGAGAGGACGTTGCTAAAACGTGAAGAAGAATACATTTTTTAGCGAGTGCTAAGGCCGTAAAATATGAAAAAGAGTGTATCATTTAGTCATTTTTTTAATGCATTTTAGTTAAGAGTAGAGTGGAAGAGATAGAACCAAAACATTAGTACATTTAGTGTTGCCATGTGGTACAATCAACCGGTGGAAACTATCGATTTTAAATTGAGGGGTTAGTGGATTTTCCTATGTTTCGAGGGGTGAATCGATTAGCTTGGGACCGAAGAGAGTACCAGAGCTGAGCCAAAAAGTTGAGCACGTTTCTTTGGGACCTTCTAGTCTTATGCCTTGTTCAGACTGGAGAGTTATAACATGTTATAACGGTTGTCAAATAATTGCAACACAGAAACCACCATCAAGATAGCGCTATAACATGTCTGAACGTACTATTAGAGTTACTCTATGGTATAGCCCTGCAACATATTGGTGTGATTTCTTGTACTGAGAATCAGGGATGGAAAATCATTTACATTCATTTCGTGCATTCATTTACATTCATGTGCCTCTAACTTTTTTCATCAACAGAATACCGTTAAATGATGTATGAAGCTTTTGTAGCTTTTGATATTAACTACAACTTTTGTTAATAACTAAAATCTGAATCTCTTATGCATGATGAAATAGAGCTGGCAGAACATGTTATTGTTTTTCAGTGAATCAGATACAGATTTTAGTTGTCTACAAAAAATGTAGCTACACACAAAAAATTATTGTTGCTAAAATTAAAAGAAACGTTGGTAGATTTAAAAATTGGCGTTGGTTCTTTTGGTAGAAAGCGGATAGCTTTCAAACCAACAGTCAGCCAACTGTCAAATCAAAAGTAGTCCACTTGCTGCTTTTAAAAGTTTAAACTTCAAAATGAATTGTACTACTGTCAAATGAAAAACATGACAGTGTTGAAAATAAAAGTGAATTATGTTTGTTTCGAAACAAGCTTTTGTCGTGAAAGTTCAACATAATTGATTTGAAATGAGCTGATTTTAATTAAAAAAAAACAAATACTATCGATTCAAGTAGCATTTTCTAAATAACAATATATTTTTCATTTTAAATTCTAATAACTATACCATCAAGAAGCATTTTTTTTATATATATTTTTAACTATTCGCATAAATATTATACTTTTATAACAAATTTATTAATCTTATCTGTTGATTTAATAATACATCTGAATCTTTAATGCTAGCTTCTTCCTTCCGTGTAAGCTATCAGTGATCTGCTGTAGCCTCGGCTGTAGCTTCAGAAAAGTTCGCAATATTTCGCGAAGTTCAGGAGAAATTCGCGAGTCACAATGGGTTTTCGTTTTAGTATTCCATGACTGATCTGCTGGATCGTATCCACTGGAACATAGCGAAAAGATTTCCGTGCGGCTTCCACATTATGTTTAGCTAGAATTCCCGGGCTGTTCGCTTGCCAAAACAGCTCCTTTCTTTGATCTGGATACTGGGGACGCAACCGTGGATGCGACTTTCATCTCGTCTATAGGGATAATTTCACCTGGCGGAAAAACTTAGTTTAGTTATTTGGTACGAGATTTGCTAGTTATAAATAATAACCTTTCTACCTATGATTTAATACTCGATTCGCCTGCGTGGGTTTGAATTCTCTCTGTCATGTAAATGGATTGCTTAAGTTCGATGGTCAAATCCGTGCCAGAAGTAGCACTACGGTTGGGGATAAATCAAATTCCATAGCAGTGTACCCTAATAAAAATTGTATGGTTAATTTGCTTAACGACGTGTTCTGGGTATCATCCAAACCATTTGTGGAATAGTTCAATGATTTTGGTTATCGTTCGT